GGGGGTGGGGGGGTGGGGAGTGGTGGAATGGCCAAGCACGTAAAGGTACCTGCAGCCAAGTCCTATGACCCAAGTTTGATCCTTAGGAACCTCATGGAAGGAGGAGCGACTCACACAAGTTGTCCTCTAACCTCCAAAACTCACTATGGCAAACCCCCCGGCCCCACAAAACCGGGAGGAGCACACTAGATGACAAGCAGTTTCTAAAAACATGTATTTCTCATGTAATATATACGTCTACCCTCTACATCTTCTCTACTAGTATTTTTATTTTAGCAATGAGAAAACTAAAGCAACTTGTCCAAAGACAGTGAGTACTCATTGGTATCAAAGCAGAAATGTAAACCCAGGAACTGCTGCCACTGTAACTCATGGGTAGAAGGATGGAGAGGTAAGACAATGGGAGCCATGAGCCCCACAGTGGCTGTGGAGGCCTTCTATTCCCTGCTTTGCTACCCTATTTATTAAGACTGGGGTCTAAAAAAGAGGTCTAAGGTGAGGGAGAAAAACAGACCGGTCTAAAGAACTGTCCTCTGGTAAAGAAAATCTTATTTCAGACATGACCTCTTCCCTCAAAAATTTCAGAATCTGGTTGGAAAGACAACGAAAGTGAAAAAAAGTAGTAACAATCAGTAACAATGCAATATAACACCATGAGACTGGAGAGATGGCTCAACGGTTAACAGTGGTGGTCTTGCAGAAGACCCAGGTTCAAATCTCCGCACCCACAGGGCAGCTAACAACTGTCTGTAACTCCAGTTACAGGTGATCCTACGATTAATCATCAAAAATAAGTCATGTATTCTAAACAAGCAACACTTTTTTTTGATCTTTTTGAGACAGGGTCTCCCTGTAGCCCCAGGTGGCCTGGAACTCAATATTGAGAACTCAGAGAGATCCGCCTGCCTCCAGCTCCCTAGAGGTGGGATTAAAGGTGTGTGTGCTACCACGCCTGGCAACAATTTTATGAGCTAGGGTATAGCTCAATGCTAAGGCATTTCTTGAGCAGGCACAAGCCAAGTTCAGTTTCCAGCAACGGAAACTACAGTCAAAACTCTATAGTCAAAATTGCAGTATCAAGTTCACAAACCTCAAACAAACAAACCCACTCACAAGCATTTATACTAAAGTAAGCCAGCTGGGCACTGGCTTTACCTTTTCTTCAGTATCTCCGAGCATACAGTAATGAATACCTAACAGTTATTGGGAACATTCAAATAATAGCTGTCTTTGTACGTTTAACTCATCCTCATTTTCCCTTTTCAAACCTATCCAGAGACAGAATTTTTTTTAATTTTATGTGTATGCATGTATTGCCTGCATGTAAATAAGTGTACCCGTGTCGTGCAATGCCCCTAGAGGTCAGAAGAGGCTGTCGGATCCCTTGGAACTGGAGTTACAGCAGTTGTTACCTGCCATGTGGGTGCTGGGATTTGAACCTGGGTCTTCTGCAAGAACAACCAGTGTTCTTAACCGCTGAGCCATCTCTCCAGCCCCCCAGAGACTGCAATTTAAAAATAGATTTTAAATAAATACATAGCACCAAATGAAAAATTTGATTTGAATACTTTCATTTGAATGATTTCAGTGATCGAGAGAAATATAAAAGGCTATCATGTAGGAGGTACCTTGATAAAGGATATTTTAAAGTTCTTCACTATTTTTCCAAGTTCAAATCAATACTGCTACAGAAAGAAAAAAAAAAAAAAAAAAAAAAGGGAGAAAGAAAACTTCTTCATAGTTTCCAAAACCCTCTTTGAATATACTGGTGTGGTGGTTAGTTTTAACCATCAACTGACACAATCTGGAATCACCTGAGAAAAGTCTCTGTAAGTAACTGTTTGGACTGGGTTGGCCTAGGAGCAAGGGGGGTTGTCTTGGTAGTAACCCCTGGGTTTGGGTCCCGGGCTGTATTAGAGTGGAGAAACCAAGCTGGCTCCTAGGCATGCATTCACTCTCTGCTTTGGGACTGGGGACAATCAGCTGCTTCAAGCTCCTGTGTTCACTTCCCAAAGATGACGGACTGCAACCGGAAATCGTAAGCCAAATAAACTTTTTCTCCCTTAAAGTCGGGGTATTTTATCACAACAAGAGAAATAGAACTAGGACATAAACTGGTACCAAGTGAGGCTACTGCTGTGGAAAAAATGATCATGTGGCTTTTAAGTCTTTGGAAAAGACTGGAAAAGCCATTGGGCAGAGCCTAACAGGTCATTCCATGGGAGCTGGGAAGAATGTGGAGAGAAACACAGGGGCAGCCCAAGCTCATGAGGTTTCAGAGAGCAACAGGAACTCTACCATTAGTGTGATATTGTGGCCATGAATCTAGCTTTATTTTACTCATGACCTGAAATGGACTCATTTGTTTCAAGGCAGAATGAAGCTCAGCTAGTGCTGAAGCGGCAGCTGTAAATGATAAAAGCGATCAGCACCCACAAGGGGAACCCCTGCTTCACTGGACGAAGTAGAAGGTGTTGCCACCTTCAGTAGACAGAACTACAGACTTAGGCAGCCTCCACTCCACACCTGCAGCTTTCCTTGGCAGTGATCCACAGACACAGCACCTCCAATAACCTAGAATCTCCACTGCAACCGTGGCTTCACCATCACAGCCAAACACAATGGCTTCTCGGGGCCTCTTTGCAGGGACTCCAACCCTGCCACACATAGCCTGGTCTTAGCTGCTTTCCATGACCCCCTCAATCATATATCTTTCATGCTTTCAAAGTCAACACCATGTGAATGTCGCTTACCACATTGCCACATTCTGCTGCCAGCTTGAGATGTAGCCTGCTCCCCCTTGGACAGTTGCTAATCAGTTAGCAAATGCTAACCCAGAGGATTCCTGGAGAGCCACCAGTCTTCAGTCCACACTGGAAGCCCAACGGTGGGTCCTAATATCAGGGAAGGAATGCAGCAGCAGTAGCAGCAGCAGCAGCAGCATGGATGGACTTGCTAGAAAGAGGGACGGCAAGACAAAAGCAACGCTTTCTTAATCTATCTTTTCTCCAGGCTGTGACTGAGGCTGCCACCCACATGTAGGGTGGGCCATCCCACTTCACATAATCTGATCAAGATCCCTCACAGGTAGGCCCAGTGGGATGCCTTTTAGTTGATTCCAGATCCAGTCAAGTTGACAACTTAGGTTAACCCTCACAATTGGCTGCTTCTATTTCCTCAGATTTAACATCAAAAACTTTCATACAAGCAAGGTGCTGTGGGACACTCCTTTAATCTCAGTACTCAGGAGGCAGAGGCTGGTGGATCTCTGTGAGATCAAGGCCAGCCAGGTCTATACAACAAATTCCAGGCCATCCAGGGCTACAGGGAGACCCTGTCTCAAAAACGCCAAAACAACAACAACAAAAAAACAAGTACCTAGGAAGAATCAGCTAAAAAGAATCCGAAAACAAGTTACTACACAGAACTCAGTACAATAAACGCTAACCAAGAATCATAAGTGATCCACATAAAAGTATAGCTATGCCTAGAGCATATATTTGAGAAACATTTTAGTATTCTAAAAAATACAAGTTTTAAGTTCCAGTCCTAACAAAACTATTAACTTCTGCGACCTTGAGCAATTAAACTCTGACATCCATTTCCTTATTTAATGGAAAGAAAACACTCCTATTACACAGAATTGTCCTCAGTATCAAACAAAACATTATATAAAGTAGCCACAGTATTACAACACAAATCACTAAGCGTATGTAACAACTACTAACATGTATTATGTATGACATGCCAGAGACTACATGCATTTTTATTTAAAACTATCAAAAACCTATGATTTACAGGCTTAAAAACTAATTCTTAAAACTTTTTTTGGCCGGGCGTGGTGGCGCACACCTTTAATCCCAGCACTTGGGAGGCAGAGGCAGGCAGATCTTTGTGAGTTCGAGGCCAGCCTGGTCTACATAGTGAGTTCCAGGACAACTGGGGCTACAAGGAGACCCTGTTTCAGAAAGAAAAAAAAAAACAACTTTTTTGGGTCTTTTTGTAGCCCCAACTCGCCTGGAACTCACAAGGTAGACCAGGCTGGCCTCAATCTCACAGAGATTCATCTGCGTCTGCCTCCCAAATGCTGGGATTAAAGGAGTGCGCCACTATGCCCCACTAAACTTTTCTACTTTATTTTACTTATTATTTTCATTTTATGTGTATGCGTATATTACCTGCATACATGTAAGTGTACCTGCGTTGCAATGCCTGCAGAGGCCCAGAAGAGGGTGGCTGGATCCACTGAAACTGGAGTTACGGATCGTTGTTAGCCACAATGTGGGTGCTAGGAGCCAAACCCCAGTCCTTTGCAAGAGCAGCTAGTGCTCTTAACCACTGACTCATCTCTTGGCCTCAGCAAGAGTCTTAATCTACTAATCTCCTATCATCTTTAATTCCTTTCTATGGCAACAAACTCAAGGAATGCCTAGGGTCCCAGGGTAAAAAGCGCCAGACTTGAACTTACGTTCCAATATCTAGGCCAGACTTTAATCTATTAGACTAATGCCTCTCAGCATAGTAATAATTCTATTAGCATTTCAACAAAGAACTTTCCAGATCAAAGTAAGGTAAATGTCTGAGCATGATCTATGCTAAAACTTCCTCCCAGTGGCTGCTACATTCAAGTTTTCCAGAAGTTAAAATATAGACTGACCTGAGAATATCAGTAACAACTTTATACCACTGCTATGAAAGTTTTGAGTAAAGCCCAGTGCTAAATAAAGCAATATATTTTAACAAGTCTGATTCAGTGGTATATTTCTTTTTTAATGAATAAGTTAAACAGAGAAATGGGGGTAATTTTTATACTTCTTTGGAAGTTACTTGGTGTCTCCTGAAAACTCATTACCATATCTCTGTTAATACAGGGATAGACAGACATATATCTATGAATGTGGGGCCTGAACACAAGGCAGCACGTAATGCCTCAAATTCCTCACCAGCCAGTGTTTCCATCTCCTAGAACAGAAAACTTAAGTCAGTCAACTGAACTCACAGCCAAGACCTATACAACTCCTGAGTAAAATTCTTCTAACACATGATTTCATCACAGCCTTCTTGTACTTAGAAACACCAGACAGCACTTGGGCCTCTTTTCTGTATGTTGCTAAGAGGCCCAAGGACCCTTTGACTTTTAGCCAAGAAACTGGCTAGTTTTCTTTGAGGTCTATTTTACCTTAACTGCCTAGCCAATTCCTACCTCCTATTCTTACCACACCATCCTCTGAAGAGGTCACCCAAATTAACAATAAGGAATTGGGACGCAAACTACTCTGGCTTCTTCCATGCTGAACAGGGTCATAGGGTGAGGCAACTGGAGTGCAGGGAACTGAACCCATGGCCTTGCTCACTGAGACACACATTCAGTTCCACAGCAGCCACTTTAAGTGGAGAAACTGCCTCCAATGAAGTTCAAAACTGGGAAGGGATAGCTGGGCATGGTGGCGCACGCCTTTAATCCCAGCACTTGGGAGGCAGAGGCAGGCAGATCTTTGTGGGTTCAAGGCCAGCCTGGTCTACAGGGTGAGTTCCAGGACAGCTGGGGCTACAGAGAGACCCTATCTCAAGAAGACCCAAAAAAAAAAAAAAAAAAAGGGAAAGACTTGGCAGTAATACATCTCAGAAAGGATAGTTTGGAGTAGAAGAACAGAAACAAAAAGGCAGAGAATGAGGATCACTTGCTTAGGCTCAGATGGGTGTGGACACCATGCAACTCTAGCTTCACTACTCTGCACATGTCCACGAGTGATTGGGAAGCATGAGAGCCATTCATCTGGGGTTACAAGTGCATTTTAGCAGGCAGATGAGACTGCAGTCGGAATCCTCAAATACTGACAACTGCACTTACATTGCAATCTTTAGCTATACTTACATTTCTTAACTTCCACTATGAAGTTATGTGAAAGTATGGGTTATTTCAATGTGAATCACAAATATTCATACAATCTGTTTAGCAGATTTAAAAAAAAAAAATCACACCCTTTCACCCAGAAAATACACATATGAAAAACACATACAAAATAATCAAACTTTAAGTCTGTCCTCCTGCCTAAGGACACTGTAAAGTGCTCATGTAGCTTTAGTTGGTCTAAACCAGATCATGTGTTTAGAATACAAGAATAAAGATCATACTGGAGCATTCTCACCAGTGAACAGCAATACCCAACAAAGGGCTTCATTAGTTCATGTCACTGCTGCACTCCACTGTGTGGACTACTCTTCTGGCAAGTCCTTGACTTCCTGCTCTGCTCCGGTGCCACCAAATCAAAGAAAGTGCCAGACTTACCAATGTTCGATACTTACTGACATGTACACCCTGTCTCCACATAAATTTAACCTCTATTCCCTTAACCCTATTTCCAAGTTTTCTTCTAGGTATTCATCACCATAAATATACACATTAGATTGAACCATATGAAACGGCCACTCTTGCAGGTCAAATAATAGTACCGCTAATAAGGTTCAACCAAATATTTACTATTTATTATCTGTCTCACCTAACTCAAATATAAGCTCTACTAGGAAGACTATTTTCTTTACTTTTATACTCCAGAGTCTACTAATTTAGTACTTAGCAACCAATAAATGTCACTAAATGTTACATGAAATACAATAATTTCCACATATCCATAATACGAAGTACAAATATAGCTTAGCCCATTTTCAGCAAACCCTTAGCCTACTAGTATATTCTTTCCCACTCCTATTTCTACACATTTTTATGGTACTGTTTGGGTTTTGTTGTTTTTGCTTGCTTTTGGGAGTGTGTGTTTGGGGACTAGAGTTGGCAGTACCAGGGACTAACCTAGAGCCTTACACATGCTAAGCATGCCCTCTACCACTGAGCTACTTCACCAGCCCTCTAGGGGCATTTTAAAAATCCAAAGTTACATGCACACATACCCTACTTAACAAGCCACAGGACTAGACTTTTTGTTATTGGCCATATACTGAAGTGACCATTCTGTTAAGACATTTAGAATGCTTCCAATATTATCTGATATGTATGACAACCTCAAAAACAGCAGAACTGACAGTAACATGCAGGGTAGAGTACATCTGTCCTTTTCTTTTATAGAAAAACTAAGTTATTTCAAAACTATGTTTTGCCTTGTGTGTAATAAAAGGATCCTGTAGAAGAGAAATAAATAGGACAAAAATGTGTGAGTTAACTTTACACTTCTACTGGAGACTTAGAATGTCCCTTCAACTTGTGCAAAGTGAGAACTGACCCACTTATCCTCAGGCTCCAGGAGCAATGTACTTGCCGTAAAATTTTCCTCGATTTTCTGATTAGTGAGTACTGAAATAGGTTGCATTATCTGTACTTCAAAACTCTAAACACAAATGACTCACAGTACTGACTTCAGTTAGCAATGCTTTGTCTCCACTGGTTCATTTCTAATGTTACCCTATAAGGTTTTGTCTTTCTTAAAGGTTACTTTATAAGGAACTTGCCATATTTGGGTCTTAAAGGTACCCCAAGACCTTTGTGTTAAGGGCTCGGCCAGCACCCTATGGGCTAGTAGAAGGTAGTAAAATCTTCAGGAGGTAGGGTCCAAGTAAAAGAAGTACTCCCTTGAAGGGAGTACTGGGCCTCTGGCTTCTTTCTCTCCCTCTTCAGCCTAGCCACATGTACTGAATAGCTTTGATCACACGCATATTCTGACAAGATGTTCTTCTTTGTCACAGGCCCAAAACATCAAACCACCACTGTCTAAAACCTCTGAAACTCAGCCAAAATAAACTTTCCCTTCTTTAAAAAAAAAAAAAAGAAGCCGGGCATGAAGAAGCCGGGTGTGGTGGCACACACCTTTAATCCCTGCAGAGGCAGGCAAATCTCTATGAGATCAGGGTCAGCCTGGTTTACATAGTGAGTTCTAGGCTAGCTGGGGCTACAGGGTCTCAAAAAAACCAAATAATAATAAAAAAATTTTTTTTTAATTTTTACA